CGTACTTGAATGAGTCAAACATGATTATTCACATTTGGATGCATTGGTTTTGGATAACATCCATCATCTGGAAGTGTAAGTTTTTATACTTTTTCGTTTCCCCCCACCCCCCCCACCCCCCCACCCCTCCCCACATCCTCCCAATTATCATTATCATCATTTCTTCTGCTTTTTTGGGTTTTTTAATATTTCAATGGGTTATCAATCGTGAATTGGAAATTTCCGTCCGTTAAAAAATGGTTTTGATATTAAACACCTGTCTCTGTTTGTTCGTCCGCCATTGTTTCTTTCTCATTCTCCAGAGTAATTTAATTGTCCAGAATTTTAGAAATCATAATAACGGTTTTTTTTTTTTTTTTTCGTTTTGCTATTGAATTTGAGCTCGATTCCTGCTTTCACTTTTTTTTTCTTTTTTTTTTTTATGAAAAAATCTATACGAACTCGTTTTTTTTTTTTTTAAACTATTCGTCATTGTTTCAAAACTTTGCTAATTTTGGAAGGAAAAGAAAACAAAAAAACAAAAACAAAAAACAAAAAAAGTTTTTGTTTGTTTTTCTTATAAGGAAAAAAATTTGCTTCCTTTTTAGGCAATCGCATGGAAAAAAATTTTTTTTTTTTGCTTAAATAAAAGGTTTTGAGAGTGTGGAAAAGCGTATATTTATGGACGGTATGGCTGGCACCTTGAAGTGTCAGCTGAAAATCGAACTTTTAAAGGACGCCATATTTTTTGTTGTTGTTGTTTTCCACGTTTCCCGTCGATTCGCATTAATAACAAAAGCGTTGAAATAGTAATGATGATTATTATTATTATCATTATTATTATCGTGGGAGTTTTTACGCGCACGCGTATAAATATAATCAGGTCGAAAAAATTAGAAAAATGCCACGTGTGACAGTGTCATGGCGGCTCCCATAATTATTACGGGAATAAACGTAAACAAAAATGGTGGAAGGAGGAGAAATTTTTTTTTTTTTTTTTTTTTTTTCTATTTCACTTATTTAAAATTTTAACGCCGCCGATTTTCTTATATTTTATTCCGCCATTTTGAAAAACGTAAAACAACGTAAAAAAAATTAAAATTTTTGGGGAGACGTTAAACAAAAAAAAAAAAAAAAAACACGAGTTTTCCGTCTTTTTCTTCTTTATGCTTTTCTCTCTCTCTCTCTCTCTCTCTCTCTCTCTCCCCTTTCTCTCTCCCTCTCTTTCTCTCTCCCTCTATCTCTTTTCGCACCTTCCGCAATTGAATCCTTGTCAAAAAGACGCCATCAACGCGGTGGAAAAAGGGAAAAAAATTAACGACCTTTTCTCGAGCTGAACGTGATGACGTGTTCAGGTACGATGCACGTGTGCGCGTTTTTTTTTCCTAAGCTCTCTCATCCGTGGATTAAATCACGCGTTGTGCGAAAAATTGTATTATCGGTCGGGGGGGGGGCAGAGGAGAAGGTCGTTAAACGATGATGAACTTTTAAAGTCGTACCTACGGATGAAAGAATAGAATTTTTTTTTTTTTTTTTTTTTAAATTCGTTTGCCGCCGTTTGTATCCGACGAGAAAATTCGACAGCGATTTCCGACAACCGCCAATTAAAATAAAATAAAATTCATAAACGGCGGTGATGATGGCGGTGATGGCGGTGATGGCGGTGGCAGAATTCGATTTAGTATTCGTTGCCCGTGTGCGTATGCAAGATGGCGGAGATGTGGGCGTTATTAATTTTTTTTTTTTTTTTGTTGTTGTAAATAACGGTTCAATATTATTTTTGGAAAATGCAAAAAAAAAAAAAAAAAAAAAAAAATGGACTCGTAATCTTTAATCAAAAAAGTTTTTAATTGAAAAAACATATTAAAGGGCTCGTGTGGTGGTGGGGGGGGGGTCGTCGTCGTCGTCGTGCGTCACGTCGTCTGGTTCTTTCCATTCATTTTTGCATTTTTTTTTTTCGTGTTAACTTTTGGAACTCGTTAATTTGAGGTCATTCGTTTACAAAAATTTTCATGGATCGTGATAGGAGTTGATAAAAAAAGCTCCAATTGTGGTATCATCTTTTTATCATTTCCTTTTCCGTTTTATTACGAGCGAAAAAAAAAAAAAAAAAAAACTATTTTCTAGTCCATTGATTAGATTACGTATCCGAATTTCTTTTTTTTTTTGGGGTCAAATGATTTTTTTTTTTCCCCCGATTCGACGGGGCCAAGGTATTTAAGATAAATAAAATTAATTAGTTTTATTAACGACCGTTACCAACTCACGAAAAAAAAAAAAAAAAAAATTTTTTTTGATCGATTATAAGAAGAAAAGATGGAAGCCCACATGAAAATTTCACGTTTTTTTTTTTTTCGGGGAGTGGTAGGGGATGGGGGAGGGGGCACGAACGTACCACATCAATTATTATTATTTTATATTAGTTTCTTCGATTTTTTTTTTTTTTAAATTATTTATCCGCCCGCATTTTACGTAGTTTTCTTACACGCACATTTAAAATTCAGATTTCGGATTTCGTGACTTATCGTTGTGGATACACGAAAATTTTATTTTTATTTTTTTTTTTTTCCGTTACGAATCACGAAAATGAAAGAAAATATTGTTTTCGAATTTGCAATGATTTTTTTCGTTTTGTGATATTTGTCGAATGGGTGCGAAAAATTATCGTAATTAACGTCCGAACGTGAAATTTCTAGAATTTTTTCTTTTACACTCGTCTTAATGAGGGAGCGAAGCGCGATGACGTCAGAATTTTTTTCGTTTTGTTGCCTTAAACTCGCGAAACTCGAGCTTAATTTTTTAAATTTAATTTTCTATCTCTCTCTCTCTCTCTCTCTCTCTCTCTCTTTCTCTCTCTCTTTTAAAGACCCACCGCGACGATTCGAAATCGTAAAAAATTTTCAGGTACGATAAAAATTTTGCGATGGTAAAAAAAAAATCGAAAGGGAGTCGTAAAAAAAAATTATTTTCCGTCTGTCTTGGTTAAAATTTTAAACCGAAAAATAAAATTAAATTTTAATAAAAAAAAAAAAAAAACAAATAAAAACGATTTTATTAATGGAAAAAATAGCGATGATAATAATGATAATAAAAGGAAAATGGGTAATTTTTTGTTTGTCGCACAACCAAACAACCAAAATGAATTCGATACCAGAAAAAAAAAAAAAAAAATTTTTTTTAATTTGAAAATTTTATAATGGATTACGTAAACGTCAAAGTCAACGTCGTAACTGTTATTATTAACTGTTATCATTAGGCAACGAAATTAAAATTTGAAATAATGATAATGATAATGATAATAATAAATGGGGTCGTACCTGAGGTATGAATTATTCAAAATCCGTGTGTTCAAAGTGTGAAACGTTTTGCGGGCGCCGAAAGGCGGCTGATAGGAAAGTTATTTGCGTTAAGTACCGATAATACTTTTTTTAGGAGGGGGAGGAGGAGGGAAGGAAAAAACGGAAAACCTGCTTGAAGGAAAGAGTTAAAAGAAATAATTACTGTACCTGAAACGACGGTTAAAAAAAAATGATAATGTAAAGATGATAAGAACGCGGAGTTTATTTTTAACTGTTAAAAAAAAGCCGCCATTTTTTTTTTTTTTAAGCACCCGCGCGCGCTCTCTCGTTCGAAATGAAAAACTTTAGTTAGTAGAAAGAAACCCTAAAGAAAAAATTAACTCTTTCCCTTCTTCTTTCTCTCTCTCACTCTCTCTCTTTCTCTCTCTCTCTCCCTCTCTCTCTCTCTCCCTCTCATTCTCTCTCTCTCTGTCTCTCTCTCTCTCTCTCGTTTTCTTAAAAAGCATTTTTCGAAAAATTTGTTTTTCTTTTTTAAAAATTCGAAACGAATTTTTCTGCCCCCCTTCCCCCAAAATTTTGTAAAATTTAAAAAAAATTGGGGTTTTACCTTAAAATAAAATAAAAAGGGAAAGGAAAAGGAAAAGGAAATAACCCCTTATTTTAACCCTTCCCTCTCACATCCTTTCCTTTTTCCCCCCTACCCCCCTCCCCGTCCACTTTTTTCTTTTTTACAGATGTTACCATTTTTAATTAAAATTTTTATCATTATTATTATTATTATCATCGTTATTATTATTGTAAAGTTTTTTTTTTTTTTTTGTGAGGTTTTTCCAAGTAAAACATTTGTTTGAATTTCAAAGAGCAAATGCGTAAAAAAAAAAAAGAAAAAAAAGAAAATGGTTACGTCATTCATTTTCCGGGTGTGTGCGATGGCGGTGACGTCGGTGGCGGTTTCGGCGGTTTTTTTTTTTTTTTTTTTTTGTAACAGGTTCGCACGAATTTTAAAACGAATCGAAAAACCGCCGCGTGGGCGGAAGGATTCCCCCCAATCCCCCATTTTTAAAATTATTTATTCATATTAAATCCCCTTAAGGACTCTTACGGATGTAAGGATTATGATCGTACGACCGAACGACAATTTTTCATTGGTGACGTCATCGTAATCATCATTATTATTTTTCCCTTCTCGTTCGAGATGAGCATTTACAGCATCCCAATTATAATTTCTTAACTTGATCTCTCGAGAAATTTCTCTCCGGTGGTTTTTATTACTGTCCTCTCCATTATTATTATTATTATTATTATTAATTAACTTTTCGATTCTTGTCGGTTGCGGCCATTTTCTTTCAAATCCCCTTGAAATTTTTAACTTAAAGTTAATTGGCGTGAATATTTTTACGGTACCTTAGCGAGATGAAAAACGGCGGTGAACGTTGATCATGACAAAAAATTATATTACGAGTCATTTAAAATTTCCAGGTTTTGATTTGGTAACGATATTATTATTATTATTATTATCATCATCGTTCCGGAACGGTTTCTATTGGCGCGGTACCTCTTCTGGTACCTGAATACATTTCCTATTGTTCGATCCCCACTGCAATCGCATATTGGATTTGTTTGCTGTCGTCGTATAAAACCTGACGGTTTGTTTATTTTCCAGGTTTTTGGTTGTTCGGAGTACAAACGATATTCTCATCAACATCATGCGTTTCTTTTCCTATGGACCTGACGGAAGCTGGTCTTCCGGAAAACAAAACACAAAACGTCGATGATTTTATCAACTTGCGCGACGGCGTCGATAATTCTAGTCAAGCGAATAGAGAACACGTGGATGATCCTCCGGGAAATTCGTCGATGACGGAAAATCCCGTGCCGTTGACGGAGACGACGATAGATGGGAATTTAAATTCGACGGGAATCGGAGAATTCGAAGATAGAATGGAAACGGTGTCCGACGAAGAAGAATTACTACAGGGACCGGAAGACGAAGATGGATTTTCCGGAAGGACTTTGGACTCGAATTTTCAATATCCGATAAAAAAATTCAACAAGTATTCGACGTCCAAGTATGGAAAAGTCAAAATCAAGTCGAAACCTTACGAGAACAACAGTAATGGAGAACTCCCTGGAGAAAAAAAATACGAAGCTTTGAAAGTTGTCGAAGAAAAAGTAAACATAAACATATCGATTGCGGATAATGCAGATGGAGGAGGGGGAGGAGAAGGAGGAATCGCCGTTTCGGAATCGACAGAATCGCCAAATGCGTCGTCATCGGCGGTGGCAACGCCGACGTCGGCGTCGTCGTCATCAACATACGAAAATTTTATTCATGTCGATGTAAACAACGAAACGGGGATTTTGGGTCACGCAAACGTCACCAACTCTGAAGACTCTGGAACGAAAAACGAAAATTTTACGGTTGCGACGTCATCGTCGTCATCGTCATCGCCGTCGTCGACGGTCGGTTTTTTTAACTTTACGGATTTTTTAAACGTGGAAGACAATGAAAAAGACGACGTGGAAGAATTCAAAAACGAGAGTCTCGTCATCGAGAACAAGGTAGAGGAAAGCGTGATTCAAAGGTCGGCCGTCGTCGAACCTTTTCTGCTTAAGAACAGAGTGGCGGCGGCGACGTCGTCAAAAAATTTCGAATTCGATGACGAAACCGGTTTGAACGCAGGTTCGGTCACCGGTATAACTTTGGGGATTTTGGTCATTTTTGCACTTTTCGGTACGTTACCCCTTTTGGTGCATTGGGTGTGTCCTCCTGGTGACTTTTCTCCTGACAAAATAATTTTTTTCTTATTCCAGGAGCCATTTCTTTTGTTTTCTACCGGAGAAGGTACCTGAACAAACCTCAAGTCCTTCACGATAAATGTAGCAATTTAGATTCGAGCGGATACATCGATGACACGTCCCTAAGGGTAAGCGACGCGGAACGATTTTTTTTTTTTTTTTTTTTTTGTCTAAAACCACGTCAGTTATTTATTATTATTATTATTATTATTTTAAAGGAAAATTCAGAAGAAATGTACAGTTTGGACAACGATTCGTTTCTCAATAGTTTGGAAGCGATGACGATACAAAATTACTGGACGGAAAGTGTCAAACACACGAAATTGTAAAAAAAAAAAAAATTTTAACGAAAATATAATTTTTATTTTTTCGATTAATCGATCGATCGATCGATCGATCTATCGAAGGTCGTCGTCGATTCGCATATACCAAAGCCCACCACCACAAAAACAGTAACAAAAAGAACAACAATTTTATTTTTAATATTTAGTTTGTAGATATTTATGTACATAATAATTTTAACTGTAATAATAATGATAAGAAATAAATGAAATTTTATTTAATGAACACGAATATGTCGTTTAATTAATTTTTTCAATTTCTAGAATTTTCCATGTTAAAATTTTTGGCGCGCGCGCGCGCGCGGGTAAATTTCAAATTTTAAATTAACATCCGTTCCAAATGAACTCCTTTTAATCGTAATTTATACTTTTTCTTTTTTTTTTCTTTATAATATTAAATTACCATCCAAATAGATAAATTATTAAAATATTTCCTGTAATTGAAACCAAATCAATTTTCTTTTTTTTTATTAAAAAAAAAATTTTAATGACGTCATTGATTTTTCTTATTTTTTGAAATTAACGACTTTTCGTTCTTTCATTTGAAAACCCGCCATTTTCTTTTTGTTGTTTTTTCTCGAACAACGTCTCACTCGGGTTTTTGCTGTTATTGTTGTTGTTTTTAGTAGTTAATAATAAAATAAGTTATTTACTTTTTATCGAGAAATAAAGAAAAACGTTTTTTTTAAATAATTTATATGTTATTTGTTTAAAAAGAATGATAATAATAAGTAAAATATTAAAAAAAATTAGGTTAATCGTTTGTGTTAATGGCGGTACATTAAATGCAAAACCTTGATTTAATTTTATTAATAATTACAAGTTAGTGCGATAATTATTATTATTATTATTATTTACAATTGAGGACGTTAATTTTTTTGTGTTTGTGCAATATATAAATTTTATTCTAATTTAATTTTATTCAGTAGTGATTTTATTTCAAATTTTTCTCTTCAAGCAGCTTCTCAAAAGCAAGTAATAATAATAATAATAATATTGACATGTAAGTAAGTACATTTTTTTTTAATTTGATTGTAATAATCAAACAAATAAAATGCAAAAATCATTTTCTATTGATTTCTTCAATTTCGAAAAAAGTTTAAAATGAATGTAAAAAGGTATAAAAGGTATAAAAGACATAATTATTAATAAATTGTATCGATATTTTTTATTTGTTTAAAAAAATTTACTTAACAAAATCTATTTTAACATTGTATTATAAATTTTTATTTTGTTTTTACAATAATTTATTTACAATAGAGTTTATTACAATACCAATTAAAGTTTATTTGTGTTAATGAAAATAAATAAATTTAATACAAAAAAGAAAAACTTTTACTCGAGTGTGTGTGTGTGTGTGTGATTGAAATATGAGATATTTATTCAACTGGTAAGATTGAAACTTTAAAAATAGTTACAATTAAAATATGTAAAACATAATCACATGATAATTAAACATAAGTAAATAATTTGATTTGTATTATATTTTGAGTAGAAAGTCAATTAAGGTAATACTCATTGAGCAAAAGAACGATTTGTGTGAATGTTGATTAAAATATTTGAAATTGGTAATTCTTTAAATATGTCTACTGAGTGAGGTTGTCTCTCATAAATGTTTATATGGATGATTTGAGGGTTGAAATTTAATAACTATGAAAATAAATCTTCTTCATAAACGATAACATCTCTTTTGTCTTTGTGATTTCCTTTTTGAGAATGACTTGCTGCTATTGTGGACCAAGTCGACGATGAACTGGCATCATTGATTGCTTCTACAACAGGTTGCCTTCTTGCTAATGAAACTTTTAATTGAACTCCTGAGACCATGCTGCCATCCATTTCATTAATTGCTCTTTCGGCAGCATCCATTTTGTCGAATGTTACAAAACCTCGACTAATGAAAAAAGATTATTTGGGTTAATTTGATTCATTTGTTATGAAAAATTTGTTAAATTTTAGCAAACTTACTTTTTTTCTATTTCCATTGATACATTTACTATATTTCCCATACCCTGAAATGTTTTTCTTAATAAATCTTCAGTTATTTTATAACCTGAAACGAATATTGTGTTTCCTTGTCTCGGTTTATCAGGTTTTCCCTGTTCTTTTTGTTTATCCCCCAAACCTCTTTCTTCTCTATCTCTAGCAGATACAAAACTGTCATATAAATTTTTCACTTTGGGCCTACTTTCTGTTTCGGGGGCTTCCTCTGGTTGAGTTGCAGAAAATGGTTGATATCCACTTACAGTTCTTTCAACACCTGATAATTTTCTTTCTAAACCCATGGGTCTTTTAAATCCCGCTTGTTCGGGACGTCGAGGTGTTTTTGATGTTGTTATGGCACCTGATTTAACAAGTTTTTTGGCTCTTTCTTTAGCATCTCTTCCCTCGGCAGGTCTTTTGGGTAAAATTGTTTGCTTTTCAGGCTCTGGTTTAGGGGCTTTTAAAGACTGTAACGCTTTTTTCTTTTTTTTTAATTTTGTATATTTCGCCTGGAGCATTAACTCTTCCTCCGTTAGGTTTGAAGGAAAATGTAAATAAACCATGGTAAAAAAAATTTTTTTGATCAAATAGTCAATAAACAGTATTTTAATAAATCTCTAATTGAAAACGGTTACCGCCATTGTATTTCTAAACGAATTTACTCGTGCCACGTTAAATTTAATTATTACTTTTTGGCTTCGTCTTTTGCCACGACCATGTTATCTGTGCAGTACTGCAATAACTTTTTTATCACTATTTGATAATATCTTAATAAATATTTAACCAAAAGTTTTTAGTTTGATGTTTTTAAAAACAGTATTAGTCAATTGGTTTTTTTTTTTTGTTGATACACTTTATATTCAGTAGCAATATATCTATTTTTTGAACAAGGACATATTTGTTTTTTTTTTTTTTTTTGTAAATTTTAAAATATTTTACATTTTAAAACAACAAAACAATGGTTCAAGCATGGTACATGGACAATTCAACAGAAGATCAAAGATTACAACATCACAGAACTCCTCCAAAATTTATCGATATGAATGAATTGTTTAAAAGAACAGGTGTCGAATACTTTAAAGTAAGTCATTAACATTTTATCTGCATATTTTTTTTTTTTTATTTAACTTCATTTATGTCTAATGAATTTAATTTAACCTCTAGGTCAATGAAAAAGATCCAGTAAATGATGATTTGTTAATAAAATTAAAAAAAGAAAGATGCTATTCGTATGAAGATGAAATCACATGCTCAGAACAGTGCCTTCCAAACTACCATGAAAAATTAAAAAATTTTTTTACAGAACATTTGCATACAGATGAAGAAATCAGACTTGTTCTAGAAGGTTCAGGATATTTTGATGTCAGAGATCCTAGCGATGAATGGATCAGAATATTTGTTCAACCGGGTGATATGATTATTATCCCATCCGGGATTTATCACAGATTCACATTAGATGATAAGGTAAGATGAAAATCTTAATTCATCATTTAATACCTGTAAAATGTGTATTGAAAAAATTTTCCCAACTAAGAAAAGGAATATTTTATTAATTTTAATGATTTATATCGAAAAATCGACAAATTATTCATTTTAAAAAAATGACCTCTAATTAAAGAAATGAGTCACATTTTCTACTCGAGCCACTTTAGATAATTTTAATTAATTGTTTACACCCTAAAATGTTATCAAAACATCATGTGATGTTGATAAAAATTTAAATGTTTTTCTCTAACAGACACCATTAATTCCTTTATCGATTTAAACAAAAATTTTGAACACACAAATTTAACATTAAAACTTAACATTTGTTGTACCATGAAAACCTATGATAATAAATGAAAATTATAATTAGGAAAGGAAATATATACACACATATACACATAAATATGTATATTTCTGATAGATTTAACAGCAAAAAAAAAAATACAATTAATTTATATATAATACAAAAAAAATATTTAATAATTACGATTCATCATTATTAATTAAAATTTAAATAAATGGAAACATTTTCTCATTTTTTTTGTTAACAAGAGTTGTGTTTGCGAAACATAAATGAAAAATACTGTGAATGAAACATGTAGTTGTCGCCTACACTTATTTTATTTAAACAAATAGTCTTGTTTAAAATTTATAAATGTTTACTTTCAATCGTATATTTGGAATTATTAATGTGAATGATTTTTCCTTTTCGTTTCTTACAGAAAGATATTTTAGTATGAATTGTCACTTAATTATAAGCCTGAGGTTTTTTTCTTTCCGACATTTTCTATCTCATCAATACCCATATTATTAAAAATACAATGAATGAAAAAAGTAAAAGGTATAGAATGTAATAATTGTGTGAGCCTTTTCCCAATCTTACAACTCGATTTATGGTTTTACTTAAAAAACCACCCGACCTTTCGAAATCTTCTTCTAATCCACTCAGGAACTTGTTGTGCTCTTTAACTTCATGTCCTAAATCGATTGTTAACGATTTTAACATGTGTACTTTGTCGCCCAATGCCTCTGTTAATTCTTCGTTTTGCTCCTCGATAGCATTGGTTCTGTCGCTATTAGGCAAAGGTTGGTAAACGTGGTTGTTAAAGGTTCTTCTCATGTTTGATGACATGTAAAACGAAAGAGAAGAATTATTCTAACAATTCTCTGCAAAATAAAAAAACAAAACAAACAAATTATTACTTTTGTTAAATTTACAGATAATTAAATATTTGATATTTTAAATATTAGCGACATGACAAAGTAATTTTAAAAAAATTTTTTTTTTAGAACTACATCAAAGCGAAAAGATACTTTATCGGAGAACCTGTTTGGACTCCCCACAACAGACCAGCTGATAACATGCCATGCAGACAAGAATATTTGGGAAAACTTTTAAAAGGATTTTAAATAAAAAAAAAGGAACTAAAACGAAACTGGGAAAAGCTAAAGTAAAATTTTAATTATTGCATAGAATTGTTTAAATAAATAAATAAAAATAAGCAATAAAATAAACAATTACTTGTTATTATGTAAGGTTTGAACACATATATATATATATACTTAAAGGCTTAATCATTAAGATAATGATAATAAAATTGTATTTTTTAATCTTTTTTTTTCTGTTTTTATATATAAATAATTTTAATATATTTTCAATTTAATAAGTAAAAAAGAAACAAATTTTTTTTTTTTTTTTTTTTTTAGATATTTACCGATTGATTGATTGATTGAATATTATCTACGATGTTTTATAAACTATTTATCGCCATTATTAATTATTTCTATTAAATAAGTAAAAAAAAAAAAAAAAAATTTAGAAATAACATAACTGTTTTCATTTACAAATAATAATAATAATAATAATGTTATTATGGGAATGACGTGGAGGACATGTTGTGATATTACAATTCGTCGTTGGACAACCTGATAAATTTTAACAGTTTGGCAAACATAACAAGAAAAAATTTTTCTAGTTCCTGAGGAAAATCAAGGTAGTTTTTTTAAATTTTATTTTATCATTTTTTTTTGATATTTATTCATTCTTTTTGATAATCATTTGTTATAAATACGCGTTAAGGTACCAGATAGGTACATTTATCATTTTCCAATTGATATTATTTAAATGATATGTTTTAATTTCGAAAATATTCGATTTGAAATTGACGATATCGAACCGTGTGAAAATTATAGGTACATAATTATGAATACCTTGATCATTTCTATTTAAAATAATTATGTAATTATTTTTTTTAAATGGATTTTAAAACAATTTTTCTTTCTTATTGTCATATCTAAAAATAAATCAATCGTAGAGGATGAGAAAAAAATTTTATCGGTTTATACCATCGGGGGAGTTTAATATAAAATCGTCTCGGATTTTTTAAATATTTTTCTTAATTTACTTTTAAATATTTAATTTATTATTATTATTGTATAATACTGTAAATGTATAAAAGGGTGAGAGGTCATTTAAAGTTAAAATGTTAAAAATCAACATTAACAGTTATGGGTAAAAAATTGATTTTCACAAAAAAAAAAAAATTATGGATCTCTAATGCGTCTAAAAATAGAATTTAAAATTTAACGATTCTTTCAATGAATTTCATCTCAACCTTATTATTATTATTATTATTATTATTATTTATAAATTAATCGATTAATTTATGATAAATATTATTAAATAAGTTTAAATCATATCGAATTTTATTGTAAAATACAAACTTTTGTAATTTTTTAACGAATTGGAAATTGATACATGTATTAAAAAAATCAATTCGGTTTTTTTTTGTTTAGCAAAATTTTATTTTACGATTTCAAATAGGTTTTTAGTTAGTAAAACTATTAAATTGTTTTTTCAGGTTGTCAAAACTTAGGTTGTTTCACGTTTAAAAGAAAATTTTTTAAAAGGAGAAATTTTCATAAAGTTTATCTATTGAAAAATGCTCACATTGTGGTACGTTATACTCGGTTGGAAAGAATACAAGTAAGTCATATGCAAAAAAATTATTTATAATTAGAGATATGTAAGTACAAACATTTCACAATCGATCATACCTGATAGCAAATTAAAAAAAAAAAGGAAATATTAATTATTGATCGATTAGAAGAAAGAATTATCGAAGACAGTTACGATTGCCTTGCAAAATTTTTTTTTCGGTTTTTAATTTAGAAACCACAGTCATATTGAATAAATTATTATTATGGGTTAATCGAAAAAAAGGTTGTTAAAAGGCTTTATCGAAGGTTTTTAGTTCGTTCTGCCATGTTAAAGTCATCTTTATCGATTTTCATTCGAAATAATTTCCATTCTATAACATTGCATCATAATATTATTGCAATTGTGAGAATGAACTTTGACCTTGAAAATAAGATTCACATTTGTTTTCTTTTAGATATCTAATGATTTACAACACAATGCAATTTTTTTTTTTTTTTCCTTTTTTTACCTTTGAAAAAGGAAAATTTTTTATGATAATGTTCTTGCGAAAAGGTTTCCCTTTTCTTCTTCTTTTTTGTATTATCGAATAGCCTTTATTTGTCTAAACGTTTTTGTTTGTTTGTTTGTTTGTTTTCGGTATGGAAATATGATTGCATTCTTTTTTTTTTTTCAATTGTAATTGTTGTTTGTTGTACAATGCATGGTCAAACATAATCTCGATTTAAATTTGTAATTTTTTTTGAATTGTCGAAAAAAGGAATTTTAGGTTGTCACATGTATGATAAACAAAGTTTAAATTTCATTTTAAAATTTTTCTCTGGTTGTTTTTTTACTTTAAAAGTTGATTCTGTTATTATTTTATGGTTCATATTATTATTATTATTATCAAAAACTTCAATTTTTTATAAATTTACAGTAAATGATAAGAAAAAGTTTTCTTATCTCGTACTGTATCCCTATTTTTATTATTATTTATTTAAATTTGTCAATTGAATGTGTGTGATAATACAGTACACGCTTTCACTTATCTGTTGCGGTCCTTATCACTTTTATTAGTAGTTTTTATGGGTTTTCGTTTTTTATGATGAATCGAAATCGAATCGAATTCGAGTTTTGATTCGATTAAAATATCTCGATGAAATCGCGATTATTTTTGATCTTAAATAATTTTTATTTTTTTATTAAAATCATTGGGCAAACTGAATTCGGTACTGAATTGTTTTATTTTTCTAAGGTCTTTTCAATATTGCATAGAAAGGAGTAGAGAGAGAGAGAGAGAGAAACCGAGAGAGAGAGAGAAAGAGAAAGAGAGAAAAAAAACAATACTTTTGCCAAAAAAAAATTAAAAATTATTGTTTAAAATAAAACGAGCCTGGGGATTTTATTATTATTATTATTATTATTATAAATAAACTTTTGGTATTTTTAAAATCATTTTCTTCTATTCGAAATTGGTAAAAAGTTTTGATTGTTGTTTGTTTGTTTGTTTGTTTGTTTGTTTTGGGAAACTCGTACTCACTCATTAAATATTTTTTAAAAAAAAGTTTAAGAAAAAGAAAATTTTCATTAAATAAATGTAAACACTTTTTTTTTTACCTGCGATTCTAGGTTGCGATGTTAGGTTTCTGTTAATGAAATCAGGTTTAAAAAATTCGAAACCGGAAACTGCCGCCATATTTATTTATTTTTGTTTGTTTTCTTACTTCATTAAGTAGTCATCGAAGAATCGTCGTATGAGACAAATGTTGGAAAAGGTTGTGTGTGGGTGCGTGTGCCTGCTTACCGAAATTTGTCGAAAATAACCCCCACCCCCACCCCCGGATTAACGTCATTTCCGTTTTTTTTCCTTTCCACCCTCACCATTTTTGGTTAGGATAGGATTGAGGTTTGGGTTCGGTCGAGATGGAATTTAAAAAAAAAAAAAAACATTTTTTTTTTTTTATTCCGGTTGGTTGATCGATGACATTTAACGTCTTCTGCTGTTGCTGCTGTTGTTGTTGTTGTTGCTGCTGTAATTATATAACCGTAAAAACCAGAAAACATAAAAATGCTAAGGTCTCGGCCAAATCTATTTTTATCCTTTCTTTCTTTTTTTCTTTTTAAATTCCATTTTTAAATAAGTTTTCTTTTCGTTATATAAATTTTCTTTTTTTTTCCCCCTTCCCTCCCCTCTTCCCCCCAAACCCCGTCACGAAACGTTTCGAGTTATTTTATTATAGTCAATTATTTTTAGGAAAATTAATAACAATTTTTTTTTTAATTTTCTTACATTATTTACCTTCAATTTCGAAATAATAATTTTCATCATCATCATTATTATTATTATTATTATTATTATTATTATTATTATTATTATTATTATTATTATTATTATTATTGTATTTTAAGGCTTGTATTATATTATAAATTTAAAGGAAAATTCGTTTCGGTTGTTTATTTATATTTTATTGTTTTCGAATGGGGGGTTTGTTTGTTTTTCGTTTTTAACAAAAGAAAAAAGAAAAGTTTCGAAAAATGAAAATCGAGCCAAAGGAATCCAAAAAAAAAAAAAAAAAAGCAGAAGGAAAAATTTGCGATTTGTTACATAAAATGAGATTAAAGCCAAACAAAATTAAAAATAATTTTTTTTTGGGGGGGGGAGGGGGGTTTCGGTTTGGTTTTGCTCTTGTCACTTTTGTTTTTTTTTTTTTTTTTTTTTTAAGAGAGAGATAGAGGGGGAGGGAGGGGGAGGAAAATTTAATTACATTTTATTATGTTTATATTTTTTGGATGTTTTCCAATGCACACGTGGAATCTTCTAGATGTTATTTTAACTGCCAAAAGGTTGCAGCTTTGAAAATAAAAAAATAATTTTTTTTTTTTATTTATTTTGATTTTGTTTTTTGGTTTTTTATTATCATTATTATTATTATTATTATTTTATTAATTTAATTTAATTTGTTTTTAATTTTTATTAATTTATTTTTTTAATTTATTTTTTATTTGTTTTAATTTGTTTTTTTTTTTTTTTTTGTTTTTTTTTTTTTATTTTTGCAGCAAACCTTTTGTTAAGCGCGATCAAAAGGAACAATCCGGGGATCCGAAAAAAAAGCCAGATTTAATACCTCACAAGGGTGGTGATGGATCACCGGGTGCGGGTCAAAAATTTCCCGAACTTCCCAAAACGTTAGAGGCGAGTTTGAGGCCGGAAGTGCCCAGAGTACAGCCGGAACCGTTGAAACCGGCGAGTTTGCCCAAAGACATACCGAAATCGAATTCGGGGGATGCTACAAAATCAAATTTACCATCCAAGGCTCCGTCGGAATCGAACAAAGGTTCGGATTTTCCGTCGGCGAAATTCATGTCCAAAGTCCCGGAGAGACCGAATTTACCGGATTTGCCGAAATTTTCACCGAATCGAAACGAATCTCCCAAAACTCCCGACTCGCCCAAATTGCAAGAACTCCCCAAAGTCGTGCCCAAAATCCCCGAACCGACGAGTTTTTCACCCAAAACTCCGGATCTACCCAAAATTCCATCGGATCCTTTTAAAACGACGACTCCGAAAACGACGACTCCCGACTCTCCGAAGGATGTCAATTTGTCGAATAATTCAAAAATCGCCGACAGCGTGCCTAATTTCATGCCCGCGAGAAGACCGGAATCCGTGATGCCGAATTTTCCACCCTCGGGAAAGAATCCCGTGCCGCCGACGAGTCAAGAATTTCCGCTTCCCCCCTATTTGCCCGGAGTTCCGGGAAATCAAAAAACACCCACGGAAAGGGGTGACGAATTGTTTGGGCTTGGAAAAAATCAAAATATGAAAAGTCCCAGCAAACCGTTCGGAGACCTGAGAGATTTATCATACTCGAAATCGGAATTCCCGGAAAGTCCCGTCGAACAGTCGAGTGCCAAGAAAATCGGAGATGCTCTTTCTCAAAAAATGCCCAAAAAATACAGCGAAGTCTTGAATCCGGATTCATTAGAATCGAGCGACGTTGACGAAGACGACGAGGAAGTCGATGATGACGATGAAGAAGAAGAAGAAGAAGATTAAAATTTTAACCGAAAAATTCGCGCACGCGCACACCCAAAGTGTAAGGTTTGCTCAAAGGTTTCGGTTTTTTTTTCTTTCGGATTGCGACCGAGGGAGATATACCCAATGTCGAGGATACCCGAATGACTGGATATCTCTTATCACATACTCTATGACCATAGAGTACCCTACCATATTCGTCCCCGTACGTGCCTTTCATACCTTATTAACCCAAACGTAGTATGGTTTACTTTAGGAATGTGTAAAATTACACTAAAAATTCGTGCGTTTTCTATTGATTGTCGTCGTCGTCGTGGTTGTGGTTGTTGTTGTTGTTGTTGTCGTTGTCGTTTCGATTGTTTGCACGCGAAATTAAAAAAAAAAAATGCAAAAATGAAGAACAAACGAAAATAGTCGATTTAATATAAAATATTTAACCTGCGTGATGATCCCAAATGTTTTCTTTTATTTTTTTTTTTCATTTACGTAAATTTTTATTAGTTGATAAGTTTTTTATTATTATTATTATTATTATTATTATTATTATTAACTTTTGTTATTAAAGTTTTTTTTTCCTCCGCCCCCGCCCCCGCCTCCCCTCGCCCCCCTTACGTAAAAAAAAAAAAATTTCGATTTGTTTTAAACGTAATTAATAGCT